CTCATCGTTGTATACTCGTGGAAAGGGTAGACAATGACCTTCCATGGAAAGTGGCTCGAACCTTGGTCAGAACCACCGACATCTCAGGAGTACGTGTGTTGAACCTTTGTGATCAGGAACAGATTATAGAAAAAGGCACATTGGTCGGTACTAGTGAGGAAGTGGATTGGTTGCGTCGGTGCGAATATCTATCGACCGGGACCCCTAGCAAGGATGGACAAACGAGAGTGACCACACTTTTAGAAGACTGTCGCAGCGTTCTCTCCCCGAATGAAATGGTCAAGGCGAAGAAGTTGTTACTCAAGTACGCCAATGTTTTCTCGTCAAACGAAGCAGACATTGGAAAGGTACCTGGCAAAAGTTGTGGAAAAACGGCAACGAGACTGGGACAGGCACATACAACCGTTTTTGTTGTCATATCGAAGCGCTGTTCACGAAAGTACGTCAGTGACGCCAGCTTTCGCAAACTTTGGGAGAGAATTACGGCTGCCTGCAGACCTGATCACCGGAATACCACCTGATGCCCCACGCAGTATAACCGATTATGCAAATGACTTGCGGAACAAAATGAATGACATTTATGAGCACGTCAGACAGACGGGCCAGCAAACGTCTGAGAAGATGAAAACACGGTATGACCGCAAAATGAACAACAAAGGGTTTGATGAAGGTTCACTAGTGTGGTTACACAATCCAGTTCGCAGCAAAGGGAAATCTCCTAAGCTTCAAGCTAAATGGGACGGACCGTACCGGATTGTGACAAGGATCAATGATGTAACCTACCGGATACAGAAAGGTGCCAGAGGTACTCCTAAGATTGTCCATGTGGATCGACTGGCGCGTTATTATGGGGCCAATAATGCTCGGGACGAGCATATCTTAGGAGGGGCCAGTGTTGCGCGCCACTATTAATGTCTTGTACATGGCAACACTAGTTACACTAGCGCCCTCTAGTGTCGAGTAGCAGAACTAGGAGAGTCGAGATCCTTCCAGAAATTTCGGGACCGATATGTACTCGAACATTCTAGATGTCGCTACAGTAGAAGGTTCTGGAAACTATCTGAGGCCCTATATAAGGCCGGTATAGACCACGACCGGGGCAGTATTGAATTGGCGATACAAGAGAATACTTCGAAGCGAAATAACGGCGAACTGTGTTTTATTATTAGTGTGATTTAAGGTGTAATTAGTATCCGTAATTAATTAAAGTGTCAATTTTGGTAATTCAATCGGCAGTTTTTAATTGTCTCGAACCCCAAGCTCGTAACAATATCTTAATTAATAGCATGCATAAATACTTGCTTTAAAAAACCCTCGGAAAGGTTCTTATTCATTTATAATTAATTCAAAACTCATGAAGACTGAACACAATGCTGTTTTCATATGGGAAAAAAAATATGTTATTTGCTAGGTATGTTTGTATATCTGCGCAAGCGAGCCCTAGGGCTGAAGTCTCAATTGATCTACCATGGTAAAGTCTCCCTGAATCATATAAAAAAATCCAACATTGTTATGTTAGTCTACCTATTAAAGTATTGGTCTACTAAAAACTCATCAATCAAACATGGATGACAATCGCAATCATCAATAATATTAAGGTTAAATTTAAGGTAATCGATTCCACAAGGAAGTCGTGCGAGGAAGAAAACATCTTCTAAATCGCACAGTGGTGGACCGCCAATCATCCAGATGGTATGGATCGTATCAGGAGTTCTGCCGCGATGTGCGTTCGTAAAATTTGGCGGCTGGAATTAATCCGAACAATTCCTCAGAGCACTCCCCGTGGTAAATGCGAAAGAAAATGCAAAAGGATGCAACATCTCTTCGCAGTGCCAATGAATCGAGCCGAACGGAAAGGACTCGGTCGTCGAGGATTCGAGCTGCTCTGCGCTGGATGTGGTCAAGTGGAAGGAGCTGGCACTGGGGAGCCCCAGCCCAGAGATGGGAACAGTATTTCATGTGAGGCCGAACCTGCGCCTTGTAAAGTTGAAACGGTGTGCCGGCATGAAATACTATCCCACGCTTTTCACGCCAAGCTTTTTAGAGGCCAATCTGGCCTCCTCTTCCAAGTGGCCACGAAACTGCACGTCACTCGATATGTCGACGCCGAGGATTCCGATACTGGCTGAGGCAAGAAGGGGAGGGCCTTGAAACTGAGGAGATACGACAAAGGGGTTCTTTTTAGCGGTAAACGCGTAAATTTGTGTCTTCTGAGGATTAAACTGGACTAGATTTATTCGCCCACAATCCGAGACTTTGTTCAGCAAAGACTCGACTTCAGACACAAGTTTGTACCGGTACTCGGCGTCGTTTTCCCGAGAAATATTGGCACAACTTCTTGGGAAGCCCATAGGAAGGGAGCTTCGAAAGAGGCGCTTTGTGCCAAACACGATCGAAGGCCTTCATGATGTCCAAATAACGGCCAATGCCTCCCCCTTGGACTCTACTGCCTCCGCCCATCTATGAGTCAGGTAGACCAGAAGATCACCAGCTGATGACCCCGACGAAAACCGTATCGGCGGTCACTAATCAGCTGGTGATCCTCAAGGTACCGCATGAGCTGGCAGTTTATAATGGATTCCATTATTTTGGAGAACAAGGAGGTGATGGTGATAGGCCTGTAGTTAGACGGGTCTGAGCGGTCACCTTTTTAGGGATCGGGTGAACAAAAGCCGTCTTTCATGATTTCGGGACTACGCCTAGGGAGTAGGAGTACCGGAAAAGACGTGTTAGAACCGGTGCCAACTCCGGAGCACACGTCCTCAGCACAATTGGGGGGATTCCGTCAGGCCCACTCGACTTGTGGATGTCCAGGGAGAGGAGTGCTTTGCGAACCGAGCGCTGTGAGAACCGCAAATCCAGCAAGGGGCACGGCGGGATGGTGGTGTGTTCCCCCCGGCTTTCTCCTTTGCGGCATGGGCCAGTTAGTCGTCCTCCCTGTGCAGAGATGGAAGAGATGTCTGACAGAAGTCCCTTTGGACAGCCTTGGCGAGAGATCAGAATTTTCCTGCCTATGTGTTCTGACTTTGACCTTGACAATGACTCTTTTGAAGGACCTGGAGGCGGAATTATACTTCTTTTTAAGGGCGCTGGTGTTTATATCCCGGGATGTTGATGCGTCAGCCCAGGCCCGGTAGCACTCCTGCTTGTAGCGTGATGCTATTTTACAGGAGCGACTAAACCATGACTGAGATCTGTCTCCGATCTTTCTCATGGCTGACATTAGCAACAAAATTAGCAACAGATGGGATCGTCCGGGGGGAAGCAAACCCGCCCCCGAGGGTAGGATGCAAAGAAAGACCGCATCCCATCCCAATCAGCCGATATATAGTGCCTAACTCGGCAGCAGCCTGCAGAAAGCAAACGCCATTTCAGCGTGAATGGCACCACACTCCGGACTAGACAATGGTCCGAGGAGCCAAGAGGGGTGTCGACGGAGAGCTGATATCTGTCCGGATGAGAGGTCAGCAGAAGATCCAACAGGGCAGGTGTATGATCCTCCACATCTGGAATCCGCATAGACGTAGTAACCAGTTATGTCAGACCATATGCCAAGGCAAAATCATGAACAGATCTCCCCGCATGATGAGTTAAACATGAACTGAGCCATTCGGCTTGGTGGGCGTTAAAATCACCAAGGATCGCGATCTCTGCGGATGGGACCTGTTGTAGCAAGAAATCTGTAGCCATTCGGACGTGGTCGATTAGTCGGTCTGTTTCGGCATTACTGCTATGGGACCTATCGAGGCACCCGTAGACGCGCGGACCGTCGTCGCTGTCTACGCGTAGCCAAAAGATGGACAGGTTCGAACCTTCAAGACTGCCGAGGCGTCGAGAACAGATGTCCTCTCTGACGTATACGCAAACTCCAGCCTGAGGCACAAAGGAGTGTTTCTTTGTACCCCGGGTAGGAGAGATATGAAGTATCAGCAGGAGAGTCTCGGTCAGAAAGAGCAAGGCCGGCTTCGCCTTCTCGAGATGGTAGTGGACGGCGTTTAAGTTCGAGTGAAGTCCCCTGATGTTGCAGAAATTCACGGATAGCGTGGCAGGGGTCGCCTTGGTCTTGTTGTTCAGTTTGCCCCGAGCAGTTATTGTTTTTGAGCGGAGTAGCTTGGTCCTGTATGCTCAGCGAGGGATTCTCTGGGGGTAGTGGTACCCTTCTGGGGTAGTCTTCCATTTGATTCCGCTACCATGTTGATGAGGGGGGGGGGGGGATTGGGCTTCCGGCCACCAGATGTGTGACGTATTCTGTGAGGTCGTGGTACCAACCCGGCTCGAGCCAGCCCATATGTGCAACAGCAAAAGCTGCCGCGTGGCTCTACCACCGTTATAAACCTTAATAACATATAAAGTAAAAAAGATTGAAAATATTTTCGTAGTAGTCATGCTCCTTTTAATGTAGACAATTGGTTTAATAGGTGCTCATTTCTTACTATAATGTAGGGAGAGTCGTCATCTTTTCTCCAATGACTTAGAGCTAGGAGTGAGCTGCTCAGTGATATATATAGAGGAGTACATGGACCATCCAGACCCAGATGAGACGAATTCAGCTTATTGTTTGAAATTCGTTTGTAAAATTTTTTAACTAGAGCCATAATTTTATAAGAGTATTGGAAAACTCAACTGTGAAATTAAATGTTTTGTTTTCCTTTTTTGAAAATATTCTTGATATATCTCGAATATCGGAGACTATAAGGTCGATTTCTATAACCTTTGCTAATTTTATTAACATATCATATAGATCTTTTCTGTTGCCTCTTACGATCCATGAGACGATATGAGGTAATGGATATTTTTACACTGAAAGTACATGGTCAAAGTGAAGGTTTGCGTTATTCAAATCTGTGCAGACTAATTTTATTTAAATGGTGCTTAAATGTTGCTCACGTGTCTGGCGCCGAGGTTACAGTAATATTTCTGGTTCAGGGTTGCCACTTTTGATATTACTGTTTTTAATACAAAGAGAACATAATATTTTTTCCAATTTTTTATTCCTTGTTTTAGACTATATGGTGAATATGTGTAGCACCTTGGCGTAGACCTTTAAATTTGTAGGTGCCTTTGGAAGGTTTTTCGCAAAAGAATATTGCGGGACTATCACAATTTTCAGCAGCAAGGAGACCGTTTCGTCGGATACCACCACATCGCTCACTTTTCGTCTCATTGGTTGCTAGTTGTGGACATTTCAAGTCCCAGTCTAAGAGTTTACTAACGCGTTCACCTGTAAATACGTTTAATAGTTACTAATATAAAACTTTTTGTTCTAGTATAAAAAAATATATTCCATGCAAATAAAATAGTAAAATTTTATTTTCCGTAACAATAAATTAACTAAGCAATGTGTTATAAGTTTATAAATATTATTGATTTCGTACCATGCACAGTCTTAAAATGATACATTTGAAAAAGGTCGTTAAATCCCAAGAAGGCGAAGTCGCCTGGCGTCTTCACTTGGTCTACATTCTTAAATAGCTCACGAATGTACTCTGCTTCGTCACGGTCGTCTAGTATCGCAAGGTATCCGCCTGCAGAGAGGCAGCTGCTGTGTGCCTCATGCCAAGTCTGTGGCTCTGTGTGGGTTATGTAACAAGAATCATTTTTGCCTAGTTTCCAACCTGGATATAAAAACATATTAGAAATAAGGTAAGAGCGTTTTCGTATTAGCTAATAAAAATTGTCTTTTATTATTACACGAATACTATACAACTAAAGCTAACTTTATGGCTTTAATAGCGTTTTATTTTAACTTGATGTTAATTTCCTTTATTTCACGACAAAAACCGTGAATGGACAGTGGGTTGAAACAAAAAAAAAAGATTAACCGCGATAAAATTGCTAAGGACCTAGAGTATTAGCATCCTTTAGTGTCGGACGCTGAAATCCACTGAGTCGCTGCGTTTTCGGCGAAATAACTCCTAATATGAACAGAAGCTTTGTTAAGACTTAACGAAAACCATCGATTCAGATCTCTACTGCCAACTAATAAGAATCAAGTAAGAGATTGAGAAAAAACGGCCGGAATACAGAAGAGGAGTGGTCTTTTATCATAATAACGCCAGACCACACACATCTTCGGCCACTCAGAAAAAATTGAGAGACCATGGTTGGTAAGTGTTAATGCATCTACCATATAGCCCTGACCTTGCACCCTCAGACTGGTGCTATTTACGCTGGTATTTTGTGAGAGCGTGGTCCTTCCCCGGTCGAGCCGACCCATTCGCTCCACTCTACCACACTACCACAGTTAGAAAAGTTTAAACCACAAGAATATAAAACCGAGCAGAATGAAAACTTCATAAGAGAGTTCAAAATTCTTCCATACTTTCATAGGGCCGTCACTCGGTTATTGAAAACATAAACGGACAAGTGCGAGTCGGTATTCAGCAATGAGCACAGACGTATGGGCAGACGGACAGGCACTGTGACTGAGGTGATCCTATAAGTTGTCCATTTTCCAATTTTGGTACGGAACATTAAAAATAGTGTTAGCTTTGAAAGACTAAATGGTTATTATTATGTTATGGGTGTTATTTAAATGGTTAGCATGGTATTCATGTTTTTGTCAACTGAGAAATGTAATCTAGCAGCAGAAATAGATGGTCAGCAAACCATGGCTAGCAAACATTAAATCAGTCGACAATTGTTGACATTCCGGACGGCTGTAATTTTTTTTTTGGTACAGGATATTTATTTTATTTTATTTTATTTTTATGTTATGGAAAACCAACAGCTTACAAATCTTAAGTAAATAACATGTTAAATTTACAAAAAGCCAATAACAGGTTCTCACTAATAGAAATACATCTAACATAATCTATTTCGTTGTTTAAAGGACATAGCACAAATATGAGCAACAAAATGGAGTCTAATTTAAATGTACAACATGCATAAATTTTATAAGTGAAACAAACAATAATAGTCACAAAAGAAAAGAAAAAGCAGGGCTAAACGCACAATGTAATTTTTCTTAAAATAAATTAAATTATGACATAAAAAACTCTCGACTTAATGCCCGCCTTGCCGATATATAGCTAGTATTAAACAAATCAAAATCATGCTTTTTGCATAAATTATTAAAATTATTAATAGACCGATACACGAAAGAATTTCTTCCATAATTAGTTTATGAAACTGGTAACTAAGTAGAGTAATGCATTCGTTCTAAGATTCACTGTAGGCGTTCTCAGTGATATTTGTGATAGCAAATCAGAACAGTCAACATTGCCAGAACAGATTTTCAATAAAAATACAATGTCAACATAGATTAATGATAAGTCATCGCGCGCTCTGACCACATGAGTAAAGAAACCGACCAGAGGGGAAGCTACATACAAACGGCTCGCTGCGAGTACACCCATAAATAGCGCAGCGATATGTGCGTGAGCTCTCACCGACAGGCTCACCGACGCTCCGTCGGGGTACAAACCGGTTTGCGCAGTTTCAGTCAGAGTGTCCATGAAAGGGCTGTTAGTCGTGCGCATTTAAATAAATAGACCAAAAATATTTCGATATTTTATACATCAATTAATTTATTAAGTATTTTTGCAATTATTAAATAATTAAATTAAAGTTTTTTAATAAGAATAATTAAGAATTAAGTTATTATAAATTTATATATGTAAATAATAAGTTTTCTGTATAAGCAAAAATTACAGAAAACTTATTATTTAAGTACAGTATGCATGAATAATTCTAGAGAAAATAAGGATATTTCCTTTTTTCTGTACCCGAGAGATCAAGTGAATACCTTTTTACGTATACAATAATACTAGGTAATAACATTGATAGGTAAGTGAGAATGTGTTAGAAAGGTGCGTCGCCGAGTGATGACGTCGGTCTCACCTACTTGAAACGTTAGTCAGTCTAACTTTGACAGTGCCGTATATGGCAGAATATCCTACGTAATAAGGCTAAATGTGTGACTTTATCCACCCACATTAGTATAGAGGCAGGTTGCTTCCTGGAGTAGGATATAAGTTACTTTATGCGAGTCGCGACCGCAGGGGTAAATACCACTGCATTATGGTTGGAATACAATCGCCAGGGATTGGTGTTGGTAGAAGTGGTGCTGGTGTTGGTGGATAGTGTTGCTGATGATGTCAGTGGTGGTGGAGGTGGTAGTATCGTAGGTAATGGTAGTAGACAGTGGACCAACAGTGACTTTGATGGTGATAGTAATGGTGATGATGGTGGTGGTGGTGTATCAACATCACCATTACTATCACCACCACAGCCACTGCCCACGACCACCATCACAGCCACAACTACCACCACCACCACTTACACCAAAACTCTTGATTTCGAACAATTTATAAATATGTTGTTACATTTATATAAGTTATAAAACACATGATGTCTTATGCTATACAATATTTTTATTTTTTCCTTAAAATTTTCACATGCATCAGGTGACAACCCTATCAGAATAGGTATAGATTTTCGACGTTGTTAGGAAGCTTCCCCTCTGGTCCTCTTTACTCTGTGCTCTGACTAGATACCGCCGGCACTCATGTAAAATGCGACAACAAATACTACGCCGAAATCGGCGTACCCGTGCCAGTCGTGTTGCAGGACTTGCAGGCAACGTGTGAGGTGAACGTACCGAATGTTTTATTAAATTTTGATCATAATCCGAAGTAAAATACCAGTTTACGTATTGAAACTGTGTAAAAATAATACTACAAGAAATAAGAAAGACACTGGAATCACATACTATCATTAAGTATCATACAATTTCGAAATTTTAACATAAAATAATACAAGCCATAAATAAGTCACAAAATATCAATGACGCTATTCAGTGTTGCCGCGAATGCAAAAATAAAGTTCCCCGTGGCTGAGATTTTTATATGTGAATTTATTGTTACTATATTTTATAATATAATATATTAAACTTATTATAATATAACCTAATTCTATATTATTTAATGTTTATTTCTGTAGTATTCTTAAAATGACATTATTGCCATTTATTAGGGCTCCGTACCCAAAGAGTATCAACGGGGCCCAAGTCTCCACTATCGTTCCGTCTGTCTGTCAGTAGGCTGTATCTTATGAACCATAATATATAGAATTTTCACAGAATGTGTATTTATATTGCTGCTATAACAACATAAAATAAAAAAGAAAACAAGTAAAATATTAAAGGACCAAAAAAATCACGTTTCTTGTATGAAGACCATACAAGTAACGTGATTTTTTTCTGTATTTATATGTGTTTTGTTTACAGACTAAAGCGAAACCTGGATTAACACGCAATAAAATGATGCTGTGTGTATGGTGGTATTGAAAGTTTATCATGAGCTTTTACCGCCGGATAAAACCATCGATTCGGATCTCTACTACCAATAAATAATGAGACAAGCAAGAAATAGAAAAAAAAACGGCTGGCATTGATAATCAGAAAAGGAGTGGTCTTTCATCTTGATAACGCCAGATTAGTTATCTGTTTGAGACTTTCAATACACACTAACATTCCTAAAAATCTAGTATTTGCTTGAGTACTTAAAATTGGTTTAAAAGTTTTAGTCAATATTTTCTTTTGTTGCTTGTGTTCTTTAAAAGAAAGCTTTCTGGAGGTTTTAATTTTTAAGTTTATAATTTTTTTTCCATTATAAATGGGATGACTAAATCCATGTTCCTTCAAATCTCTGGTATTGAATATATCAAATAAAACTACTACTAAAATGCCAAGATTTCTACAGCAACGTTTATTTTTATTATGTCACCACCTACAAGATTGTAATAGTAATAGTAGTATATAGTAATTGTATAGTATAGTAATAGTAATTGTAATAGTAGTATATATATATATATATATATTATAATTAAATGTAATAAAACTTTAAAACAAAAACGTCTTGAATTTGTATACAATATACGAAGACCACCATACGAATACCACGGTATCAACATCAATGGTGAGTACATCACTCACCTTCGATTTGCCGACGATATAGTCCTTATGGCAGAATCGCTGGAGGACCTAAGCACTATGCTCAATGACCTCGATAGTGTTTCCCAACGGATAGGTCTTAAGATGAACATGGACAAAACAAAGATCATGTTCAATATCCATGTCACACCTATGCCGGTAGTTGTTGGGAGCACTAAGCTCGAAGTTGTTGACGATTATGTTTACCTGGGACAAATAGTCCGACTAGGTAAGTCCAACTTCGACCGAGAGGTCAATCGACGGATTCAACTCGGCTGGGCAGCGTTCGGGAAGCTACGACACATCTTCTCGTCAGACATACCTCAAAACCTGAAAACGAAATTGTACAACCAGTGCGTGTTGCCAGTGATGACTTATGGAACTGAGGCGTGGTCCTTCACTGCTGGCCGTATGAGGAAGCTCAAGGTCGCTCAGCGAGCTATGGAGAGGGCTATGCTCGGAGTTTCTCTGCGTGATAAACTTAGGAATGAGGATATCCGCAGTAGAACCAGAGTAACCGACATAGCCCAACGGATTAGTAAGCTGAAGTGGCAGTGGGCCGGCCATATAGCTCGAAGAACCGACAACCGATGGGGAAGAAAGGTTCTCGAGTGGCAGCCTCGTACCGGTAGGCGAAGTGTAGGGCGTGCCCCCACGAGATGGAGTGACGACCTGGTAAGACATGCAGGAAGTCGATGGATGCAGGTGGCTCAGGACCGTGCTTTGTGGCATTCTTTGGGGGAGGCCTATGTTCAGCAGTGGACTTGTGAAGGGCTGTAATGATGATGAATGATGATGATGATACGAAGAAACTTTTTCCCCAGTCTTATATACTAACTAAAGGTGTAACAAAATAGTACTTAATAACTTAGGGAATGATTCTGCCCGTCAACATGAATATTTATTATTATGGGATCATCTTCGAAATTTTCAATTTATACGTGATAGACCCATACTGCAGCTATATTACTGGTATAGTTATAGCACGAATGGGTCAGCTCGAACGGGGACGGACCACGCTCTCACAGAATACCAGTGTAAAATAGGAGCTTAACGCTGCTGTGTTTCCTATGGTGAGTGTAGAGAACTGGAGATTCTTTTTTCTGGAAACGAAGTATTCCATCTTAGTCCTCAGGGGTTGCAACGCATCCGCATTTATTTCTTAACCGAACCACCATCAGGTGGACTGAGTGCTTGTTTGTCACCCTAATTCTATTAAAAATATCTCAAGGTCAGTTATTCCATGCAAAATTTCGTACAAACTTGCTCAAAATGTATGGAAGACTAGATTTTTCTTGCGATTAGGAAGATAGATCTATAGTAAAAGTTGTTCATATTGACGCGTAGAATAGAAAGCCCTATTTTGATTACACCATATATATATATAACTATTTTTTTAAATAATTTGTGAATATTAGTTAAACATGTAAATACTCGTATAAAAATTAAACTGATAAAAAGGAGGCCTTATCATTTATATGTCATTTCTTCAGAAGAAAAAACTATACATAATATACACCAAATATATTGATACATTCGTTATTAATAAACTATTCATTTTTAAGTATTTCTGGAATACATTCATAACTATGAACTTAACTACTAAGCCATAGCATAAAATAAATTTTCCCGTTAATCGGGTAATAGTTAAGCTGCTGGCATATAAAATTTTTCACGCACACTAGCATCATGCAAATTGTCTTATACACACTACAATATTAAGATGCCGCACTCACGGACCTGTTACTTGCAGGGAGCGCGGTATCTAGTCAGAGCGCGCGATGACTTATCATTAATCTATGAATGTCAACAATCCTCCGACGCTTTATCAGAGGTAGCAGATGATGGTGTTTGCATAAGGATAAGTAGTCTTGTGATCGGTAGTTTCTATGGGTACGATAGCAAAGATATCGTATAAATTACCGCTGGATATATTCAATCCGTGAAATGTATGTATGAAACATCGGGTTCCAAATCTGCGAAGCATATTCAAGCGTACTGCGAACGTAAGTACAGTACAAGATTTTAATTTTTTTGATATTATTAAACTACTTTGCAATACGCACGACAAAACCTAACGCCTTAGATGCCCTAGTTATGATATTGTCAACATGGGTGTTGAATAATAACTTAGAGTCGTGGAAAATCCCTAGATCACGTACAACAGATTCTTTTTGTAACTTCTGGCCTATAGGGTGATAGCCGAAATTAATTAAGTTTTGCTTGCGTGAATATGTAATAAGGGTACATTTTGATGGGTTTAGATCAAGCTTATTGATATTACAGTATTCCTAAAATCTTAGAAGATCTTCCTGCAGTAATTCAGCATCAGCCTGAGATGGGATTGAGGAAAATATTTTCATATCATCATCAAAACAAACAGGTTTCAATATCGTTGACAAATATAAGAAATAGCAACGGTCCCACCAAGGACCCCTGTGGCACACCACTCGGTATTGACACTCAACCTGATATGTAATTGTTAACAACTACAGCCTGCGAACGATTGTCGATATAAGAGGAGAACCACCGCTGTAGGTCTCCACAGATACCAATATACTGAAGCTTTTTTTTAAAGCAAATCATAGGAATATCACAATGCACGGTCCCGAGCCACCTGCACCCATTGACTTCCTGCATGTCTTACCAGGTCGTCACCCCATTTAGTGGGGGGAGGCCCTACATTCCGCCTACCGGTACGAGGCTGCTACTCAAAAACCTTTCTTCCCCATCGGTTGTCGGTTCTTCGAGCTATATGGCCAGCCCATTGACACTTCAGAATTAGTATTCCTATCGGTTGTCACTATTCAAATTATATGAGTTTGCCAAATAAACAGTCAATCCGCAAAATAACTACTAACTGATCAGCAAGATTCACGATTGGTTAGCAAAGACTATGCTAACCCTTTAAATAACACCCATTATAAAAATTAACATTTTGGTGTTATATTTGTGTGCAAGAGCGAGCGAAGCAAACCAAGTCTCATCAAACGCTCTCAGTTTCTAGGCTGTGCAGTAGACTTGTAACAATTCTCTAAGTTAAAATATTATTAACATTATAGTAACGTTTGATACTTACGAGGATCAAAAGTGTCGCACTCTTGATAATAAGAAACTTGAGTAGCATTTATCTTGCAGATAAACGGGAGTCGACTTGAACAGGGGTTAACGTAAAGCCGACCGTTCCGGCGCATTGCGATGCACCTACCACCGCTGTGCTTTGGCTCGTCCGGTTCCCATAGTAATTCCAAGATCGAGTCGCGCAACTTACTACCTTGTTAAAAAAGATTATGCGGCACTGAGTAGGTACTTTGAAATTTTCATATTTTCATGAGGTTTTTATGTTATTTAGTTTAGAATCAACGTTTAATACCCTGTCATAATTACAGACCATCACAAGTCCACTGCTGAACATACGCCTATCCCAAAGAATGCCACAAAGAACGGTTCTGAACCACCTACATCTATCGGCTTCCTGCATGTTTTATTCCATATCGTCACTCCATCTAGTGGGGGACAACTCTACACTTCGAGAGAGATGAGCGAGAGAGATTCTCTTACTGATACGAGGCTGCCACTCAAGGACCTTTCTTTCCCATCGGTTGCCGATGCTTAGAGCAATATAGCCGGCCCATTGCCACTTCAGCTTACTGATCAGTTGGGCTACGTCGGTTGCTCTGGTTCTACTGCGGATATCCTCATTACGAAGACAGTCGTGCAGAGAAACTCTGTGCACAGTCCTTTTCATGGCTTGCTGAGCGATCTCAAGCTTCTTCACACGGCCAGCAATGAAGAACCACGTCTCGGACCCATATGTCATCACGTTCAACTTGCACCGGTTGTACACTCTTGTTTTCAATTTTTGAAGTCTCCCTATCGCTGCCCAGCCGAGTTGGAGCTGTCAATTGTCCTCTCGGTCGAATTGTGACTTACCTAATCGGACTATTTATCCTAGGGAAACATATTCGTCAACAGTAACAGCTGCAAATACTAGCATAGGTGTGAAATGGATGGTACACATGATCTTTGTTTTGTCCATGAACATTTTAAAATCCATCCGTTGTAAGACGCTACTGAGGTCATTGTGCATTGTGCTCATCACTAGGTCCTCCAGCGATTCTGTCATAACGAATCGTATCGTAGGCAAATTGTTCTAGGTAAGTGATGTGTTCGCCATTGTTGTTGATACCGTATCCTTTCCAGTCCAATAGCTTGAAAACGTATTCCAATGCACCGTTAAAGTTGTAGGGATATGACGTCACCCTATCACCTACGTAGGTACACCCCTCTGTAGTTGGATAGATTTCTTACTCTGGTTCCGTACTCGAATAACCGTTATAGACGAACTGTAGAAACACTTCAGCACTTCGATAAGCTAACAGTCGACTTGACGCCACTGAAGGGACTGTAGCATAACGCCCCATCGCCCAAATTAAATTTAGTAAATATAGTTTAATACCCTATATTGCCGCAAAGGACTATGGTGTGTAAATTATGTATCATTAAAATAGATTTAAAGATATTCCGCTCAGCCTCTCCTTCGCATACACCACGAATGCTCTCAAAAGCAATACATTGCTTTTATAGAGAGTTTGTTAGCCAACAATCAATGAACTAATATATTACCTAACTTGTAGGTGTTTTATTAAAGTAAATATAAAAAAGTTAAGCAAGTTTAAATAAGAAAGGATATATCATCTTATCATATAATCTTTATATATAAAAATTACGTGTCACGTTGTTTGTCCGCGATGAACTCCTAAGCTACTGAACTGATTTCAATGAAATTTTTCATACTCTGTGCAGTTTGGTCCAACTTGAGAGATTTATCTATTATTATTTATTAGTTTTTATATATTATTTTTTAGTTTTTATCCTGATATGTGACACTCAATATTTTTTTATTACGAATTTAAGGATTTTTATATGAAGGGTCATCGAAAAGGGCAGAACAACGTCTGCCTGGCCAGCTAGATTTTATATAAAATTCAGTCTAAAAATAAATCTTTGTTGTGTTAAGTAAAAAGAAGCTCCTCGTATTTAAAACGAATCCAAAATTTAAATCGATTCGTAAAGTAAATTATTTCTTTTAATAATATTATAGTAAGGTATTGGTAACTAGAGTATAAAATTTATACGAAAACAAAAGCAGATGACAAACCTTTTAATGTAACAAAACTTCTCTCTGAATACAAGTCATGTATGCCAACGTAGACACCGTCATAGTTTGTAAGAGCTGGGGCAATGAAAAGGGGCATTGCATCTGCTTCGTCCAGAGTTTCGGGCACCATGAGTTCAGAGCCCTCGGCTTCACAACGGATATATGCACTCGACCATACCGCAGCAGTAGTGTGCAGCTTATAGAAGGAATTAAAAGCTTTCTCAAACCTGTAGTCTTCGCGATACTTAGGTCGTTGTGACTCTATGGAAATTATTTAACCGTAAGTGAAACTATTAGAAGTAAAAATAATATAACGAATTTAATGAGAGTGGGTAGCGTGACCTTGTAAGTGGATAGTAAAGTTTAGTATACGAGACTGCTGAATGAGTATATAAGATACGTGTGCAAACACGTCTTTATTACCTCCTATATCTAAAGCTATCACCAAGATCGGAATCAGCCAATAAGACAAATGTTCCAATAGATAGGTACTTGACATGGAAAAACGAAAGTTGTCTATAATTTTTATCATTTTTAACTTCATTATAATCTATTCATTAAAATGCAGATTATAAATATACAATTTTGTCATAATAATGGTAATTATTATGAGCCTACGGCTGTACAAGAACCCCAAAGATTCGCTCAGCCAAATCGACGGCTTCATATATCCAGTTGTATCCACTGTTGGCCGTCTGGTTCTGGTGTATCTCGTCGCTTTCTGTTCAAGAATCTCAGTGTGGTACCTAGGTGTTTATTGCTGGTATGACATGAATTTTCATTCTGTTTTGTATTTTTGTCTCATAGCCTATGAGCAGTAAAACGTCGTTTGGAAGAGTAAGGAAAGTTCATTGTTGTTAAATCGTATCTTTTCCAGTCGAGCGTCTTAAAAAATATCTTCCAATGCATTTGTGAACAGTTTTAGGAATATAATATATGTAGTGTCTTCCACCGGTAGACTACGTGGAAGGAGCAAGAGTTCCACAGGAGATTCGATGAGGTTTTATGTTCTTAGAAACAGTCGTCTGTGAGACCTGTGGGCAGTGCCAGATTAAGCAAGTGCGGGGCCCATAGCAAATTCTATCGAGGGGCCCTTGTTCTGCTATACTGTTATTCTTAAATACAAAGTGGTAAAAAACAATTCAATAATCAATGCGTTTATTTGTCATCTCTAGATTACAATTTTGTTGGTGTTTCATAGTACAGTAGATTACTACAGGCCCTGTTGGACTCTGACAAATACAAAATGTCAGAAATGAGATTGTCCTGGTAATTTAAAAGTGACGATACCACACAATTAATTGTAAATCTTTTTAGAGTTCCGTTCCCAAAGGGTAACCAACGGGACCCTATTACTAAGCCTCCGCTGTCCGCCCGTCTGTCTGTCAGCGGGCTGTATCTCATGATCCGTAGTATATATAAATAAGGTAGACAGTTGAAAATTTTGACAGAATGTGTATTTTATGATTCGATGCATTGCTTGCTTAATGTTATTAATTTGATAACCTCCTCGCATGTTGTTTTAGAAAAATATAACGTATGTTATTTTCCTTTATGGATATAAGTTTGTCGTATCAGTTCGGAAAAACCGCTGGCGGTAGTAAATTCCACAGATTGGTCGTGCGAAGCAGAAAATTCCGCAAAAAAAGCTTTTAAAAATTTTTTTTACTTCGCAAATAATTCCGCAAAGTAACGCCTGATTCTATTAATTATAGAAAATTCCGCGTAAATCGCACAGTATTGGACCGCCAGCCATCGAGATGATGAGGATGGAATTTCGAGTACCTACTATCGCAGTGAACGATGATGGAATTCAGCAGCTGGAATTAATCCTAATAATTCCTCTGAGCAATCCCCGTTTTATATGCGGTAGAAGATGCATAGAGATGCAACGTCTCTTCGCAAGGTCAGTGGATCAAGCCGATCGGAAATAACTTGATCGCCGACGATTCTAGCCACTCTCCGTTGAATATGTGGAATAGTGGAAGGAGCTGATACTGGGATGTCCTGGCCCAGAGACGAGAACAGTATTCCATATGAGGCGGACCTTGCTCTTGGTAAAGCTGCGAGCGGTGGTTCGGCATGAAACACCGTTTTGATCTACTGAACACACCAAGCTTTTTTGATTTCAGTTTAGCATTCCCTTTCAAGTGAATACGGAATTGTACGTCTCTCAAAATGTCGACGCCAAGGATGCCGATGCTGGCTGAGCCAACTAGGAGAGTACCCTGAAATTGAAGAGATACGACAAAGGGGTTAATTTTTGCGGTAAACGCGCAAACCTTTGTCTATTGGGGGTAAATTGGAATAGATTTGGCCGCCTGCAATCCAAGACTTTATTCAACAAAGACTCGACTTCAGACACGAGTTTGTTCCAGCACTCGACGACAGATTCCCGAGAAATATTAGCACCGCCGTGATGTATAAAGCATCGCCAGTGCTGTCGTCTGCATAACAATAAATGTTACTAGTATGCAACATATCATTGATATGCAGAAGGAACAGGGTAGGCAATAGCTCGCAGCCTTGTGAAACATCAGCATTTACAGGTTTGTAGTCGGAGCTTGCACCATTGACTACCTTTATAGTCCGAAGAAAACTAGTGACCCAAATATTAAAGAATATAGCCAAAGGCTTACAGTTAGACGGGTTCGAGCGGTCACCTTTTTTTTTTTTTTTGGGATCGGGTGCACTAAGGCTGTCTTCTATGAGCCTGGAACAACGCGACGAGTAAGAGAACCGGAAAAGATGTGAAAAATCAGAGCCAACTCTCGAGCACACGTCTTTAACACAATTTGGGGGATTCCATCAGATCCACTAGACTTGTTGACATCCAGGGACAGTGCCAGGGAGCTGTATAAACAGCATGTTGCATGGAGCACTCACATGTATGTTATTTATATTCCCCCGTCGACGAGAGTCGAATTGAACTCAAAAAGAGAACCTAAAAGATCTGCTTTCTTCTTTGCGGGGTGGACCAATGAGTAATCCTCAATTCTCAAAGATGGTAATGATGGCTTACCAAAATTCCGGGATCAGAACGCACGAATTCCCGAAGGAAGGCGAACTAAATTCTTGCCAATTCTCCCAATGTGCTCCGACTTTGCCCTAGTGATAACTTTTTTGAAGGACCTAGAGGCAGATTTGTACTTCTTTTTGTGAGCACCAGTGTTTGCATCCCGGGACGCCGATGCTTCAGCCCAGGCCTTATAACACTGGAGGACGTGGTGAGCGCTCTGTTTCCTGCGCGAGGGGAACATCCGCCCCCGCCTATGGCTCCGCCACCTGCGGTGCCGGAAGCGGACCACCAGGACGACGACGACGGCATCCCGGAAGGGACCGGGGTAGCCCTGAGAGTGGCGGTACGTAGGCTCAAGGCCAGGAATACCGCCCCAGGACCCGATGGCTTGCCTGGCAAAGCCTGGGTCCTGGCCTCGGAGGCTCTCGGGCCCCGACTGGAGGGGCTCCTAAGCGCATGCTTGGAGAGAGGCCAATTCCCGCTTCGTTGGAAGACGGGGAAGCTGGTCCTCATTCGGAAGCCGGGGCGCCCTGCGGACTCTCCGTCCGCATACCGGCCCGTGGTGCTGCTCGACGAGGTGGGCAAGCTCTTTGAAAGAGTCATTGCAAACCACCTCGCCGAGCACCTTGCGGGGACGGGGCCGGATCTTGCGGAACACCAGTTTGGTTTCCGCAAGAGGCGCTCTACGGTGGACGCCATCATGCGCGTGAGAGCCCTCACGACGGGGGATGCAGTGGCCAGGAGGGGGGGTTTGTTTTGGCGGTGTCTCTCGACATCGCCAACGCCTTCAACTCCATGCCTTGGAGCTGCATTAGGGAGGCACTCCGGTATCACCGGGTGCCAACCTATCTCCGTCGTATAGTCGGGGACTATCTGACGGATAGGGCCGTCATCTACCCCGGTCGCAACGGTGAGTGGAACCGGCGAGAGATGTCGTGCGGTGTCCCACAGGGTTCGGTTCTGAGGCCGTCCCTGTGGGACATCGGTTACGACTGGGTGCTGCGCGTCGACCTCCCTACCGGCGTCAGCGTAGTTTGCTACGCTGATGACACGCTGGTACTGGCACAGGCGGGGTCGTACGAGGCGGCGGCGGAAAATATGACACGCGGGGTTGCGATAGTCGTTGAGAGGATCCGGCAGCTGGGTCTTGAGGTGGCTCTGCACAAGTCCGAGGCCATGCACTTCCATGGTCCTCGGAACAGGCCACAACCGGGATCCTCAGCGATGGTAGGAGGGGTATCCATCGGCGTCGAGTCGACGTTGAAGTACCTAGGACTCGTCCTCGACGGCCGATGGAACTTCGTTGAGCACTTCCGACGTTTGGCTCCCAAACTGGAACGGACCGGGGCTACCTTCAGGCAGCTCCTGCCGAACCTGGGGGGGCCAAACGCCTCCTGCCGGAGGCTCTACGCGGGGATTGTGCGGTCCATGGCCCTTTACGGGGCCCCGGTGTGGGCGCGTGGTTTGGCGCGGCTTGCCGTCCACCACCTGAACGCGCCCCAAAAGGTGGTTGCCGTAAGAATGGTTCGCGGCTACCGCACGATCTCCCGCGAGGCAGCGTGCCTCCTTGCCGGATTGCCGCCATGGGATCTGGAGGCGATAGTCCTCGCGCGCCTGCACGAATGGCGCGCGGAGGCACTATGCCGGGGGAAACCCCGCTGCCGCGGCAAGTTGTCGTGCAGCGGACAGACTTCCGGTATGATCTCATGGCGACATGGAGAGAGCGACTGTCGCAACCCCGTGCTGGGCACGCCACTATAGCGGCGATAAGACCCCTCTTTGAGGAGTGGCTTGAGAGACGCCACGGCGTCCTCACCTTCCGCCTGACGCAGGTCCTCACCGGACACGGTGTGTTCGGGAGGTTCCTGCACCGAATCGGGCGGGAGGAAACGCCCGGGTGCTCCCACTGCGAGGATCGACCGGAGGACACGGTGGAGCACACCGTGGAGGTGTGCCCTGCCTGGGCGGAGCACCGCCGTGTCCTCGTAGCGGCGATAGGCGGCGGCGGCCTCTCGCGTCCGGCCCTGGTCGAAGCCATGGTCCGGAGCGAGACGGAATGGGATGCCGTCACCACCTTCTGCGAAGCAGTGATGCTAGCGAAGGAGGTGGCAGAGCGGGAGAAGGAGAGAGCAGCAGCTTTCCTTCCCGGCCGCCGCGGGAGACGCCCCGGGCGTCGGGGGCTACGTCGTGGCCCCCGGCCACCGTAGGCGCGGGCCTGTGGACGGCGAGCAATGGGTAGCTCGCCGTCCGTCCGTCTAACGACGACAGGCCGTGTCGACGGCGCGTATTGTTCCACGCGCGCCTCAAAGAGCTGTCAGCAGCGTGAAGGGGCCCGCAAGGGCCGACGCCTGCCGGGGCTGCGGGCTGTTCGAAAGAGATACCGCGGCTCCGGAACGTAAGGGCACTGAAGGAACACGGATGGTTTTTAGTCAGTAAAAGTCTGACACTCCCTTCCGCTCCACCCAGAGCGAAAGGCGTCATTTGATGATTTTCCATCCGCAAAAAAAAATAAAGGCCTTATAACACTCTGCTTTTGCTTTTTCCGCGACGCAAATTTTGCAGGAATGGCCAGACCAAGGCTGGGATCTGCCGCCGATAGGCACTACAGATGACGGGATTAAAAAATCCATCCCCTCAAGCACCACATCGGTGACAGACTCAACAAGGATTTTTATTGGATCATCCAGCGAGAAGCAAATCCGCCCTCATGGGTAGGATGCAAAAAAACCCAATCCGCTGAGCTAAACCACAGACGGCGGCAGCCTACAGATCGTGCCTGCAATGAGCAAGTGATGGGCGCTGTACTCCGGATTAGGCAGTGATACGAAGAGCCATCGACGGAGACCCGATATCCGTCCGGATGATCCTCCACATCTTGTATCCGCGTGGGCGAAGTGACCAGTTGTGTCAGACCATATGTCAAGGCAAAGTCGTAAGCAGATCTTCCCGCATGATCAGTAGTACGAGTACCGAGCCATTCGTCGTGGTGGGCGTTGAAACTTGTGCGTTTACCGTATGAAATTTTGTGTTTTATTTTCTCCAATGAAATAATCGATTACTGATTGTCTGCCATGGATTGTCGTTAGTCGAGAAAGGTGTAACGTTTCACGTTTTAGTGACATCAAGTAAATTCAATATACCTCGTCTTATTAAGTTTCACTGCAAAAATTACGCCTAGGCAATGATGGGCGGGCTTAGATACGCGGGGCCCCATTTTGCGCGGGGCCCGTAGCAATTGCTACTCTTGCTACGTAGTCAATCCGGCACTGCCTGTGGGACCAACGACCGTCGTAGGTAAATTCTATGGGATGGTCCCGTCAATGTGAACAGAGGGTTTTATTTATTATTATTTTATTTCCTTTATCAGGCTGTAACATTGATCGAACAGACTTCGCCATTGTAGGAAGTGACATTATTCACCGCTAGTGGCGCTGTTTGTATTATGAAACATAATTTTTAACAGAATCCTCATCACTTTATGACTAACTTTCAAGCTATTTTCAACTAACTTCAAAAAGGAGGAGGTTCTGAATTCGTTGATTTTTTTTTACCGACCGACCGACTGATACTAGAAGACGCCTGAGCCGATTTGGAAAATTCTTATTTTGTTTCAAAAGGTATACTTCCCAGGTGATCCCATATAAATTTGATCAAGGTCTGACCAGTAGTTTTTGAGTTATCCTTGATAATTTATATTTAAGTCGGTTGTACAAATTTTTTAATTTTACCACCTTGTAGCAGTTTTGGGGTGGTCCAAGAGCCAATCCACCCTCACCTTAACCTACGGTGACTTTCGTAGTCCTTTGCTATCACTTTCGTATTTTTGACAAAGTTGCTAAAACCAGCAAACACAAACAAAGACAAACGCACAACTTTGCTAAAACCAGCCTAGGCGATTTGTTATTTTTATGTGACTTACGACAAAGCCGTTTATTAAGCGTTACCGTAATTAATAATGTAGGTTGTCAGTTAACGAGCCGATTTAACTATGGGCTACAGACGTGGTATACGTGTGAGAGTCATGCTGCAGCTATATTATTAGTATGGTTGTAGCACGAATGAGTCGGCTCGACAGGGGAAGGATCTCGCTCTCACAGAATACCAGCATAAAATAGCATCTCAATGCTGCTGTTTCGTATGGTGAGTGTAGAGAACCGCAGACCCACTCTCTTTACTGGAAAGGAGGCATTCCATCTTAGTCCTCATGGGTGACAACGCATCTGCATTCTGATTCGTAATTGAGGATAGATGTAGATGTCTATGGGCCACAGCAACCACATCATCAGGTGGACTGTGTGCTCGTTTGTTACCCTTATCTTTTAAAAAATAGACAAATATACCGTCTACTAAGGTCGTGTTAATGTAGTAGGGTTTTCGGAAACGGCAGTAAAGATTTTAATGGTTTTTATTATATAGATAATGTATCATTTTCCATGTTTATCTGGTTCTTTATAGGTGTCATCCCTGATATTTTTTTCTAAAGCCGGTTAAATCTTGATCGCCCAGGTGCTTATTTTAAGACACAAATTATTAGTTATGACTGCGGCTTGATTATATTAAAGGGCCTAATAATGGTTTTTTTTTTTGTAAGCATTGAACACACTATTTCCGATAGGGCGCGTTTCGACGACACGCACCCGCTACGCGCACGCCACGCGCGTCAGCACCCGCGTCTAACTCGCTTTCAAATTTGTTGCATATAATTTGACTCTTATGACAAATCAATAAATCTGAAATTGCATTTATCGACGTTCAACCGCACACGCCTCGAACACGCCACGCGCCCGCCTCGTTCCCGCTCCGCGCTGATGCCGCGCTCACCCCGCACACGCACTTTTTATACAATTTCAGATTTATTGATTTGTCCTAAGACTCAAATTATATGCAACAAATTTCAAAGCGAGTAAGACGCGGGTGCTGACGCGCGTGGCCTGCGTGTAGTGGGTGCGTGTCGTGGGAACGCGCCCATAAGCATTGAAAATATAAAAAATGACAGAAAATAACAAAGTTACAAAAAGTAAGAATTGAGTAAAAGGTTTTCGCCTTACCACTTGAGATTACAGTGGTCAGCATCAATAAAGCACACAATAACACATAAATCAAATATTGCATTGTAAGTCATTGCTATTTCAATTACTGCACAGCACAAGAATAAATCCAAAGAATTTTATTTTCATCAATATTAATGACTTTAATTTCACGTACCGGAAAATTGTTAGAGATTCGTGAATGACTAAATTAAACAACGGTTTTTCATTTCGCAAATAAAATTTATTTTACCTATACATTGATTGTAATTATCATTTCGGATTGTTACAAAACAACTTGGGTTTGTTGTTCATTTATTGGTATTTTATACGTTTTGTAATAAATATAAACATGCTTGTTTACAGTTTTTACAAAATGATGATTTAGACATGGTGTTTATTATTTCAAAAGCTGTAATAAATCCGACCTTTTCAGTTTTTATTTCTTACAACAGATCTAGAAATTTTAGTTACTGGATGTGTTCCGATATACACTGTGACCATTGTAAGTTGTGATCAATTCAATTCACTGTGAAGCCGTTCTTTTTTTTTTGTTTGCTATACTGTTTACTGCTTAAAACGGAACGCAGTCCAGTATACTGTCATCCGCATTTTCCGACACTGTTTTCAAATGAAAATATTTATCATGTACACGTTTTTTGTTCAACAAGAAAAATTATTACTTGAATGTTGTTACTTTTACAACTTTATATATACTATATATTATATATAATATACTATATTTCCCTAGGGCACTGCGGTAGTATACTGGCACTCCATATCTCCATAACGTTAAGTATTTTTCAGCAGTGCTTGCGGTGTATATCGGAACATACCCACTGTGTAAAAATAATTTGCAGTCTGTGAACGCAAATACAGTGCAAGCAAGAAATTACTCGGTATTGTTATTTGAAATGTTGGGAATAAATTCCAATAAATGCTTCAATACACTGTTTCTTACTAACATACACGTGTCCTCGATACTTAATTTTTGTAATATTTACACGCCCTTCCCTATCCATAAAATTAAAAAAATAAATAACAAACATTTCACGAATATTTCATATTCAGATTAAATTTGACTAGGTATATAAAAATTTCCTAAAAATTTCATAAGAAGCATTTATAACGCCCCAACTTAGAAACGCCCGTGATATATTCAGCAGCGCACCATGATAAAAATTTGCAAACTTGGAACCTCTTTTGTGCAAAATATATTTGAATTCATATAAAATCGTTCTATGTGGACCTCCCAGTTCACACTGCATAGCTATCTTTATAACATTCAAAGGATAGAACAATGTACTAAGAAATGCGCCTATTGAAGCTCCCGCAATAAAATTCTGTAGGCTATCATACACAATGTAATCTTGACGTGGTAATCTTAAATTCACCTCATCTCTAATAATGAAAAACATTGCATTTGATGGACCATTTCTGAGGAGAATTGGTACAAGTCCTCTATAAAATTCCATTACACCATGATGTCTTAGAATATGGCTTGCTGCATGTGCAGTATTTTTAAGCTCTTTATGGTATTTAGGATGAATAAGCAGGGTTTGTAGTCTTTCAAATGGCATCAGAGTTGCCTCAAAACAGCCTGCAACAATTCCAGCTACAGATTTGGCAACATATGGGTTAATTTGTTGGTGCAAAAGTGGTTGTAGGCATTCATCATATACACCAAACATAAGTGACATCGACAAAGACCTCTGCAGTAGGGGAGGTAGCATTCCACGATATAAATATCCTAAGCCTTCCTTCTGCAATTGGTTTAAAGCTAGTGTTGCTTCTACTCCATGCATCATCTGAAATAAAATACAAGATAATATTCAATGTTTCTGCTGCTATATGCATATTATCGTTTTTATTTTTCTCTTTAACCTCCAAGTAAATAAAATACCCAATTCCTGCAGTGCCACAGAGTTATATTATCAGAGTTGTTAATTATTATTATCAAAATCTGGAAAAACAAATAAAAATGTAGCTGCGAAGCTGCATTAGCTCACTCTAATAATATATTCCATACACCATCGTACTGTTACCAGAGCCTCATCTGTTAAGCTGTGGGATAACTTTATAGTTAGTGCAGATGAGAGTGGCACTTGAATATATGTTAGCATTTTATTAATTAGAGCCTATTAAAGTACACAGCTGAACATAGGCCAGTCCTATGCATAGCTTGCCTTATAGGGAGGATATTTGCCATAGTTGCCACGGTTGGAAAGCGGGTTTACAACCGCAGTTTTCAATACCATTTCATAAATAATAGCTTTTTCTTAATGTCTTATTTGGTCAGACTAAAATTAATAATTACAATATGTACTTAGCTCAGGCTTATTATGCCATCGTTTTTTACTAGGGGCTATAAGACTCATTTCCTGCTAGAGTCTGTCCGGTTACGTACTACTCTCTTACCTATCGGGCAAGGTGTTCGACCCGAGGAGCAAACATCACTCCATGTTAAAGACAGAACGAAGTTTTAATATGTAAAACTGATACAGGCTTCGGTTGGTTTCGCTTGTGGCACAACGAAAGTAACACCACTATTTATTTTCCCCGATGTTTCGAGTGCTTTGCACCACCCAAGTGGTCATAAGATGACTAAGTTGTTTGACATACTGATGTCATAGTCTTAGTTTTATATATTTTTATATTTATGGCTTTCGTATTGTTTTTTGCAGAAAATAATCACAACTTCAGCTTTCATTCTCCATGTAATATTTCATATACAAAAGTATTCTGTTATAATGTCGTAATGTTTGTGCAACAACGCCAGATTTACCACTTGTTCAGGAAAATAAAACCATTGTGAAAACAGTATCTGCTTGGAAGAAATAATATTTCGAAAGCATGAAGCAAAGGCAGGTTCTTGATAATATCGTGTTGCGGCGCCCTAATAGAACCCACTACCTCACTGCCGCGGTTATTATACTATCGTAGCAGGGTCCACTGTATATTTTGCGTTAAGGAAACCCGGCATTGATTAGACAAACTTAAATTTAAAAAAAAAATATTGTAAAGGGGTACTTAGTTACATGTTTACATTTATTGAAATTAAGGTATAATTTAGCAAAAATACACTGGCTGAATTTAAATATATTTTATATTGACCTTTTCAATGTCAAATTTAACTTAACACAATATTGTTGTTTACAGAATAAGGGTGACAAACGAGGACACAGTCCACCTGATGGTAATTGGATGTTGTGCCTCATAGACATCTATGTCTATCCTCCATTAAGAATCAAATAGCAGATGCGTTGTCACCCCTGAGGACTGAGATGGAATGCCTCGTTTCCAGTAAAAAGTATGTCCTGTTCTCTACACTCACCACACAAAACACAGCAACATTGAGCCGCTATTTTACGCATGTATTCTGTGAGAGCATGGTCCTTCCGTCCATGGTCCTTCCTTGGTCGAGCCGACCCATTTGTGCTACAAATATAACATAGCTGCAGTATGGCTCTACCACATTTAAAAAAAGTGTAAAACTCCTCATTATGTGACCTGTGCAGATTAAGCTTTTGTTAATGTTCATTGACACAAAGAAGTATCGTACAAACCAGCGAAATCAAAATCCTTAATTTTACAAAGTCGGACTAAATTAATTTATAAACAACATTTTTTGTCTCGCCAATTGTTAAAAAAAGAAGGGGGCGAATAATATAGCTCTTATTTTGTACCACACCACATCATATACATAAGTTCAACTACAAGTATTTTGTTCTGAGTATTATGTCTGTAGCAGGTTTATGATAAAATCAGGTTTTTTATCAAAAACCGGAACTTGTTTAGTTTTATGATAAATTTTAAGCTTAAGTTAGGTTGATTTTAACATAACACTAAATCAGTCTAGGTTTCTGATCAAAAAACTGGATTTTCTCATGTTTATGCAGTATAACCAGGCCTGTCTCACTCCGCGCTTTAGGCATGAAAATATACCTACGCTGCGTGGCCGCCTACAAGAGGCTAATACAGTGAGGTTGTCACGCACGCGTTCGAGTTAACGCGCACCTTACGTTAGCAAAAAAGTATTTTCACTTATAATTTAGGCACTTTTGATATTTATTTTTGAGTTTTTATTCAAGTATGGCCACTGAAAAAGTCGAAAGGTACATACGGGTGCTTAAATAACAATAGGGATGTCGCCTTTTCATTTCTTACTGTTCCTAAGGATATGGAAAGGTAAGATATTATTATTTATTTATATTATATTTATTGATATTGCAGATCTAAATAATCAGGCACCTACTAACGCCATAGTTACAGATTATTTGACAGCTTCGTAGTTTTCGCTTTTTTCGCGTATGTAAATATGTCGCATGTCGCATGTTTGTAAATAGCAAAAAAATATGAAACAGAAAATGGTAAGTAGGTAAATTATCTGAGTTTCAAAGACGTTCACGTTGTTATAATCTTAATTTTTCTCGATGTTGCATATTAACCTTGCTCACATTGAACATGATGTTCTTATTATCAGCAAATTACTAATACATTGCATAACACCTTTTATTATATATAGAAGAGGGGGCGAACGAGCATGCGGCTCACCTGATGGTAAGTGACTACCGCCGCCCATGAACAACCGCAACACCAGGGGAATTGCAGATGCATTGCCGGCCTTTTAAAAAGGTGTAAGCTCTTTTCTCTCGGTGTATTCTACTAGTATTTATAAGCAAGCTATACTTATAACTAATATCGAAGGATTCAATTTGTTTTCTCACAACACCTTTTTTTTTTTACATGGGGAAATGCCTACGCATACCCGCCTCGCGGGGGCAAGGACGGGTTATGTCGGACTCGCACCGACTAAAATCCCATGGTGTTCCACCCTCGTCGCATATTGGCAGGGCCACGGGAACGCTTTCGCACACTTCCGCGGCCCCACCCACGCCGGCCACTCCATGGCGGCCCCTCCTCGGGAGAGGACTACTCCTCCCCATCTCCTTCCCAGGTAAGGCGCACCAGAACACATGGCGCGCCCTCCTCCTCGGCCTCCAATTTCCAATGCGCAACAGACGCCCCCGAGTCCGATGCGCGAAGGCCATGGGGCCAGGAAAAACTAGCACTCAGAAGCACCGGCCTTCCTGGCCCCAGCGGCGGATCTGGTCTATGGCTCCGCCGCCAACCAAGATTCGGCTGCGGAGGGTAGGGAGAGCGGCGCCTCGCAATACCGACACTCCTCTCCCCCCGCAGCCCCACCACCACCGCATCATTAACGGTGCGGCCCCGTCAGAGTCGCGGAGGATAGGGCGAGTGGTGCATCGCCATACCAACACTCCTCTTCCTCCGCGACTCCACCTCGGCTGCAGAGGTAGAGGGTGCGGACTCCCCTCTCACCGCAGCCCCCCGACACACATCCGAAGTGGGCTCGCCAAGCCCACTCGGAGTGGCCACCTCGGGCCGGCCCTACACCACGGGCCAGCCAAGGGGTTCCTCTTTGTTCACCATGAGTGACCAAGCCACGGCTACTAAGCCGCCACGACAAGGCGGGAACCCGTTCGGGGGGGTTCTCACAACACCTAACCCTACAGTAGGAGCAGCCTTAACAAAGGCGTGTTTTAACTCTGCCTCTGCTTTTTTGGTGCAGCCGGTCCCAAGCCCGGATAAAAGAGGAGGGGTAGAGGTGACAAATGCAGCCGTAAAAGGACTCAACGCCGAACTTTGGGCGGCGGTTAATTAACCCAACACCAAGACTCGCTCAAAATTTTTCTAGTGATCTTGGAGCGGCAATTCAATGGCCGTGACGGACTAAATCCTTTCTAAAAGACTGACAGTTCCGTCGGAGTGAGTGGGTGTATCCGGACTAACACACACACCTGTGCTAGGACCTACGCAGTCAAGCGCCGTACGCGAGGATGAAGGAGTCATGGAGGTTTGAGCCAATCGTCACTGGGGTATAAAGTGACGAGAGGCAACACGCCCTCTTTGGTCCGGATTTCAAGCCAAACGGTTGCCCTATCTGCTAGCCACAGGTAGGGAAATGGCCAAGCGTCCTGTCGCATGCGAGAGACGTGAGGGCTGCCTAGTTTCCTGAAAAGGGTGTTTCCTGAAAGTGGTGGTAAAGGCCACGCTGACTGAAGTGAGTCATTCAGGCAGAGGGGTTGGGCCTTTTCAGCCCTGTCTGCCAGCTGGATCGAGCTCCCGATGTCGCGCTGTGAGCCAACTTCGCGTTCCTATATTCCCCCGGTAATCCTAACGCCTGAAATGTATTTTATGTTAAAGTAGGGCGTTCCCAAAGGTGCGGGCTCCATGGAGGGTGCGAAGCCTGGGGGATGAATTTATAAAATTAAATCAATAATGGAACGTACAAACACTGAACAAACATTGAAGAGACCAACCAAACCAAAGCAATATGTCTAGGTTCCTTCATAGACATAGAATGTGCTTTTGACAGAACGAACTTCTCCAGCATAAAAACTGCACTAAGTAGACAAAAAAATTAACCGGCACTGATTGACTGGATAGTAAATAGAGAATATTTACTATCCAGTTAAAACACACATAATACACAAACAATAAAGATTGCTGGTGAATCTCAAACGATCCAAATCAAGAAACGATTTTTTTTAATAGAAATATGGTGACAAACGAGCACACAGTCCACCTGATAGTAAATGGCTGCTATGGCCCATAGACATCTACATCTATCCTCGTTTGCGAGTCAAAATGCAGATGCGTTGTCAGCCTTGAGGACTAAGATGGAATGCCTCTTTTCCAGTAAAAAGGCTCTCCGGTTCTCTACACTCACCATACGAAACACAGCAGCATTTAGCTGCTATTTTAGGCTGGTATTCTGTGAGAG